TTCTGACAGATGTAACAGAGCTACTCAACAGTTTCAATGTGCAACTTCAAGGAAAGGGGAAGCTCATCTGTGATATGCAATCACATGTCAAGCATTTGAAGTAAAATTAGGCCTCCTCATCAAACAAGTGAAGGAGGAAAACTTCTGCCATCTCCCCACACTCAAAATCTGTTAGCGGAAAAACCATTGGTTGCATTCCCAAACAAAACGTGTGGATTCACTGGAAAAATTGCAAAAGGAGTTCCAATTTGGATTTAAAGAGCTTCATCTCCATGAACAGGACATACAGCTTTTCCGAAACCCATTTTCTATGACATTGAAAATGTGGATACAATTTACCAAATGGAACTGGCTGAACTGCAGAATTGTGACTCTCTGAAAGACGCATTCAAGTCAAGCAGCCTTCATAATTTCTATGCATCTCTCCCCTCTGAGACATATCCTCATCTCAGGAACCATGCACTCAAAATGGCAACCATCTTTGCAGTACTTATGTCTGTGAACATACTTTTTCCAGAATGAAACATTTGAAATCTCCAACCAGATCTAGACTAATGGATGCACACTTGCATCACTTGTTACGACTAGCAGTGACAAATATGGAACCGGACATTGACCATCTCATTAGCCAAAAGCAGGCCCATAGTTCCATTGAAATACTGGCAAGTTTGTTGATTTAACTTTACGTGTTCTTCATTTTAAATATTGTATTTGTTCCCAGTTTTGTTCTTCACTTCAAAATAAGATATATGCAGTGTGCATAGGAATTTGTTCATAGTTTTTTTTTAACTATAGTCCGGCCCTCCAACGGTCTGAGGGACAGTGAACTGGCCCCCTGTTTAAAAAGTTGAGGACCCCTGATCTACATCATTAGACCTCCTTTGCCAGTACCAAAATATAATAATAGGGTTTCTCCCCTTTTTCTGGCAACAAAACCTTTTTACGAGGATTCATGTCTGCATTAACCACAATATTTGCAGTCAAAATGGAAACAACATTTGTTTTGTTTAGTTTTTACCAGGTAAGGCCCCACTGAACAGCTACGTAGTTTTTTTCAGAAGCGGCCTGGCCATCACGGATAATAGCTCAACGGATGTGGCTCATCATCATCATCGTCAACATCATCGCGTCGAAATTCGTAGCAGCCAAATACTCTAAACGCGTGATGTTTATTCTAAATGTGGAGGGAAAACCAGGAGAAAAATCCAGGCGACCACGGGAAGGGAAAACGAGGAGAGAGAGACGCAAACCTCCAAATATACAGGAGCAGGTGTCAGGGTCTGGATCGAACCACGACCTCCTGTATACCAGGCGAGGTAGTTAACATCTCCGAGCCACCGTGATGATGATAATGAGAGAGCCAGAGACACGCAAACTCCAAATATACAGCAGCAGGCGTCAGGGTCGGGATCGAACCCACGACCTCCTGTACACCAGGCAAGGTAGTTAACATCTCCTAGCCACCACGGCGTCCTCTTGATCACGATGCACTTCTAAAGGCAATGCCGATGGTCTTTTTGTTGTTGTCGCAGAATGCACAATAGAGCGAGCGCGTTTCCTCACACGTTTCTCACACGTTTCTGGGCGTCGTTTAAATCTTCTAGGGGGGGGGGGGGGGGGTGTTGGTGGTGGTGATGGGGACAAACGTTGCCAAAAAAAACTACCGCTATGCGTGCGGACCGCCGCTCGCTCCCGAGTGAATTGCGCGAGGGGACGACTATTTTTGTCCGCCGATGGAACGCCGCCGACCCTCGGGTACCGAACGGTTCGCGTGAGTGCAGAGTGGGGAGAGAGAGAGCGGGAGAGGGGAGAGAGAGAGGAGAGAGAGGAGAAAGAGGAGAGAGAGAAAGAGGGGAGAGAAGCGAGAGACTTTGACTTTTAACACTTTTATTGCCGCCAGCAGCAACAGCACTGGAGGCCATTCCGATATGAAATACACAAAGTCACCAGCAACACAAATAAACAAACGCTATAAATCCACGCGCTATGGCGCTAAATGCACCGCACACAACACGAAGAAAAGCCACGTGGTGGTGGTGGTGGTGGTCATCGCGCACGCCACGGTGACGAGCGAGCGCTTCAGAAGGTGAACACCACGAGGGTGCCGTCCACGCTGCTACAGAGAGGGGCTTTCCGGCTCCCCAGCGTTCGAAGAAGACGTGCACATCACCGGCATGTGTGTGGTACATGGCGTGCTCCAGCCGGAGCCGCGCCTTGAGCAGGCCCCTGAACACTGGAAGCACAGAGCAGCCGTCAGTGTCACCTTTCAAGATATTTTTTTCTCGTTCTGTACACCGCCAACTTCGCCTGAGCACAGGCGAAGTTGGCGAGGTCATGCCGCTTGCTAGCCAGGGTAAAGCACCACCCCATATACGAAGCTGCTGTTGTAGAAGGGTACCCCCAGTTTCCTGAAGATGTTCAACCAAAAGGCGGGAACTTTGGTTTGAGCCGCTGGCAGCGTAAGTACCAGTGGGGCAGATCCTCCCTGGCACCGCAGGAAATGCACAAGTCTGTTACCCCTGGCGAGATTCGGCTGAGCCACACGGCGATTGCAACGTGCAGTGTGCCAACCTCCACTGGAGGTCACCGCAGCGTTTGACTACAGGGGAGACTTGTACATTTGTTTCCACTGAGAGGCGGCCGCAACGAGGGGATAAAAAGTATAACCAGTAAAAACAAAGTTTTTCACTATAAATCCTTTATATGCGTGGCGGCTAGAGTCCTCTCGTCCTCTGGCTGAGATGGCTGCCACCTATGGGTCAGATGATTGTCTGCCAGTATTAAGCAATTGGTAATTAAATATTTAATTTGTTTTCCCTGAACAGTGTAAAATTTTGGAAAAAAAATTTCACGAACATTAATTGTCTCGCACAACGAGTCTGTGTGCAAAATGTCCGCTCGATTGGATCACGGAAAGTGAGTTAAAAAACGACCGAAAGATTTGCACGGTCGTAAGCAAGCAATCAAGCACGCAAGCACGCAAGCAAGCAAGCAGCGAACTTAATATAAAGGATTTAAAAATGGTGATGTCCGGTAGGTTGGCCAGGTCCCGGGAATGCAGCGCCTTTACGCAGCACGTGTAGAGCGCTGTGTTCGGGGCACTCTTGAGGGGCACGTTCCTGCAGCCTCGGAGCTTCAGTAGCTTGCCGGAGTCGCTGGAGAGAGAGGGAGGAGAGAGCGAGACGGAGGTGCCGACGTTGACGAACGGTCACAAACGCGGGGTGGCATTTTTAAATCCTTTATATTAAGTTCGCTTGCGTGCTTGCGTGCTTGCGTGCTTGCTTAGGACCGTGCAAATCTTTCGGTCGTTTTTTTTAACCCACTTCCCGTGATCCAATCGAGCTGACATTTGCACACAGACTCGATGTGCGTGACAATTAATTTTAGTGAAAAATCTTTTCCAAAATGTTACACTGTTTAGGGGGAAATAATTAATATTTAATTACCAATTGCTTAATGGTGGCAGACAATCATCTGACCCATAGGTGGCAACCATCTCAAGCCAGAGGAACGAGAGGATTCTAGCCGCCCCGATGCCACGCATATAAAGGATTTATAGTGAAAAACTTTGTTTTTACGGGTTAATTTTTCTTCATTGAATCAGAATGTGTATTGCCGTGGGACATTGTTGTTGTTGCTAGTACTGTACAACAAAAAAATGACGGAAACATAACAATGGGTTTGTACCGCTTTTCCTGGCAATGTGACTGAGAGGGCGTTGAGACATTGGAACACCAAACAGGGTCGCTCTTGCAAGGCAGCGACTCTGCATTCACCACACTCCGTCTGCGTGTTTTGCCACAGCGGTGAGTGGCTAATGCAGACGTGATGTCTAACCCCGGGGGACCCGTGGTGGAACTGATGATGATGGTGGTGGTGATGGTGGTAGTGATGGGGCTAATGGTGATGATGGTCATGGTGGTAGTGATGGGGCTAATGGTGATGTGGCGATGGTCATTGGGTAGTGATGGGCTAATGGTGATGGTGGTGGTGATGGTGATGATGGTGTCGTGATGGGGCTATGGTGATGGGGTGCTGGGGTAGTGATGGGGAAATGGTGATGGTGGTGGTGATGGTGGTAGTGATGGGGCTAATGGTGATGGTGGTGGTGATGGTGATGGTGGTAGTGATGGGGCTAATGGTGATGATGGTGGCGGTGGTAGTGATGGGGCTAATGGTGATGGTGTAGTGATGGGGCTAATGGTGATGATGGTGATGGTCATGGTGGTAGTGATGGGGCTAATGGTGATGATGGTGGTGGTGATGGTGGTAGTAATGGGGCTAATGGTGATGATGGTGGTGGTGATGGTGGTAGTGATGGGGCTAATGGTGATGGTGGTGATGGTCTGGTGGTAGTGATGGGGCTAATGGTGATGATGGTGGTGGTGATGGGGTAGTGATGGGGCTAATGGTGATGATGATGATGCTAGTAATGGGGCTAATGTGATGGTGGTGATGGTCATGGTGGTAGAATGGGGCTAATGATGATGATTTCGGTGGTGATGGGGTAGTGATGGAGCTAATGGTGATGATGGTGGTGGTGATGGTGGTAGTGATGGGGCTAATGGTGATGATGGTCATGGTGGTAGTGATGGGGCTAATGGTGATGGTGGCGGGTCATTGTGGTAGTGATGGGCTAATGGTGATGGTGGTGGTGATGGTGATGATGGTGGTAGTGATGGGGCTAATGGTGATGGTGGTGATGGTGGTAGTGATGGGGATAATGGTTGATGGTGGTGGTGATGGTGGTAGTGATGGGGCTAATGGTGATGGTGGTGGTGATGGTGATGGTGGTAGTGATGGGGCTAATGGTGATGATTTCGGTGGTGATGGTGGTAGTGATGGAGCTAATGGTGATGATGGTGTGGTGATGGTGGTAGTGATGGGGCTAATGGTGATGATGGTGGTGGTGATGGTGGTAGTGATGGGGCTAATGGTGATGGTGGTGATGGTCATGGTGGTAGTGATGGGCTAATGGTGATGATGGGGTGGTGGGGCTAATGGTGAGGTGGGGATGATAGTGTGATGATGGTGGTGATGACGATGGTGGTGGTTATCATGACAGTGATGACGATGATGGTGGTGGTGGTGGTGATGATGATGGTGGTGGTGATGATGGCAGTGATGACGATGATGGTGGTGGTGGTGTGATGATGATGATGGCTATAGTGGTGATGATGATGTGATGCCGATGATGGTGGTGATGATGGTGGTGATGATGGCTGTAGTGGTGATGACGATGGATGGTGGTGGTGGTGATGATGATGATGGCTATAGTGGTGATGATGACGGTGAGGTGGTGGTGATGATGCTGTACTGGTAGTGGTGATGGTGGTGGTGATGATGGCTATAGTGGTGGTGATGACGGTGATGGTGGTGGTGATGATGGTGTAGTGGTAGTGGTGATGGTGGTGGTGGTGATGATGATGGCTATAGTGGTGGTGATGACGGTGATGGTGGTGGTGATGATGGCTGTAGTGGTAGTGGTGATGGTGGTGATGATGATGGCTATAGTGGTGATGATGACGGTGATGGTGATGGTGATGATGGCTGTAGTGGTAGTGGTGATGACGATGATGGTGGTGATGAATGATAGTGGTGATGATGACGGTGATGACGATGGTGTGGTGGTGCAACGCAGGAAACCATGCTGGCGGAGAGAGAGCATCCCGGAGGAGTTCCTCCTGGCGAGGCTGGCGGAGGAGTATGCGCGCCTGCCACGCTACAGCACGCGGCCACGGCGCGCCCGCTTCATCGAGAAGGTGCCCCGCTCTGTCGCTCGCTCGTTCGCTCATTCATCTCATTCATTCACTCTCATTCATTCACTCTCATTGATTCACTCATTCATTCATCCTTCATTCACTCTCATTCATTCACTCTCATTGATTCACTCTCATTCATTCACTCTCATTGATTCACTCTCATTCATTCACTCTCATTCATTCACTCTCATTGATTCACTCTCATTGATTCACTCTCATTCATTACTCTCATTCATTCACATCTCATTCATCACTATATTCATCACTCTCATTGATTCACTCTCATTCATTCAATCTCATTCATTCACTCTCATTCATTCGCTCGGTTCTGTCGCAGAGAAGGCGAGCGAGTCGATCATTCGCGTGGGCGATATTCCGTTCAATCATTCCCTTACAGGGAAGGTGCAGGGACTCCTCAACTTACGCGCATTCGACTTACGAACTTTCAGAGATATACGAACAAACCTTGCCCCATATTGTTGGTTCTTTCGGTAAAGTCACGTAGAAGGGAAATAATAAAATAATAACAAAAACATTATAAGATATTCCCTTCTACGTGACTTTACCGAAAGAACCAAGAATATGAATCCATGCAGTCATGAAAGCTTTAAATCGAAACCTTGTCCCGTATGTCAGTGCCTGTTCGGACCGAGAGTTGTAAGAACGTGCTGATGTAGAACCAGTGGCATCTACATCTACAGAACGCGAAAAAACCAGTGGCATCTACATTTGCAGAACGTGAAGAACCAGTGGCATCTACATCTAAAGAACGTGAAGATAAAGATTCTGATTATTATTAATCCCTAATAGAGAAGGTGTTTGGTCGTATTCACTCATACATTTCAGGGAAGGTACGTGAGTCATTCATTCGTACAGAAGATATCCGTTAACTCATTCATTCCCGTACAGAAGGTAGACCGTTCATTCATTAATTGAGGTCCATACCCTCGTAGAGGAGATGCACGCTTCGTTCATCGCTCATTCTTTCCTTCGTAAGGGAAGGCGGCCGCGGGTGATGGCGTCCAGCGTTAAATCCGTTCGTGTGAAGCTTCCGTCGGTCAAATCAGCCGGCATTTCTTGTCCGTGCCAGTATCGCCGCGACAAGGGGTTACGGAATCAGAATATGTATTTATCCTGGGGGGAGGAATTCCGATGAGCTGTGAAGCCACGTCTCTACGACAGACACAGTGCAAAGCAAAACAAAAACACGATAGGGGTGCAAAGTACAGGCGAGGTAACGCAAATCACCCAAACACGCGACGAAAATACAAACCAGCGCGACCATCCCGATCTAGCAGGCGAAGCGCACAACGGCGAAGAGGTCACGGAGCCACAGGGGATGACCGAAGGCGCACGTGACGAATCGACACCAAGCGGTGGATGTGAGTGAGAACGATGAACGAAAAGTGTAGAGAGCTCTCACTTGGGAGAATCGTTTTTTAGATTTTCACGGCGAGGACAGCGTCGTGACTCTTGGATGCGGGCCACGGCTCGCGGTGATTGCGAGAGACGGCGGCGGTGGTGGCGGTTTTTGTGGGGGGGGGGTGGTGGGGTGGGGGTGGGTGGGGTGGGGGGGGTGGTGGTGGGGGGGGAGACACCTCATACAGCTGCGGATAGAGCGCGTCCGACGATGACCGCTGGGCACGGTCGCCCGTTCCGCCTCGGAGGGGTTGCGCCGCGCCCAGCCAATCGCACGCCCAGAAGACGTTCCGCCAAAGACGTTCCGCTTAAGACGTTCTGCTTAAGACGTTCCCCGAAGGACGTTCCGCTTAAAACGTTCCACTTAAGACGTTCCGCTTAAGACGTTCCACTTAAGATGTTCCACTTAAGACGTTCCGCCAAAGACGTTCCTCTCAAGACGTTCCACTCAAGACGTTCCACTTACGTCGTTCCACTTAAGTCGTTCCGCCAAGACGTTCCACTCAAGACGTTCCGCTTAAGACGTTCCCTCAAGACGTTCCGCCAAAGACGTTCCACTTAAGACGTTCCATTTAAGACGTTCCATTCAAGACGTTCCATTAAGACGTTCCGCCAAAGACGTTCCACTCAAGACGTTCCGCCAAAGACGTTCCACTCAAGACGTTCC